TTAAGTAATGGGAAATAATGTTGAGAGTTCACATAACATAATTTATACATTTTGTTAAATATTGTCCAAGTTAAAATATACATAGATGTTTAGAATAAATTTATAAGAACACTTAAATTTTCATATACTTTAGAATTGGTCAGTTTGTTTCTAAAGTGAAATACTCATTTGTTTTCATTACTTGAGTGTATGCAATCAGATAGATTCTTTTGAATGTATGCAATGCTGACAAAAATATGGTTCTGTACTATAATATCTAAAGAAGGAATTGAATAGAGAAATACAATCATACATGGAAAAGTTAGAACTTTAACAAGTTACTATAACATCACAGATATATGAGATAGAGGCAATATCATAGCCAAAGGTGTGGGATCCAGAAATATCTATTTTAGAAAATGAATTCTCTGTAAAATAAGAAAATGTTTCTCTACTATCACCAGAAGATATAGAATTCATGGAAAGAAGATAAATTTACTAATGATGCAGGARAACAATGGGTTACCATATTAGACATTGTATACTATTTGTGTTATATGCTACAGAGACACTATCAAAAAGCTAAACTTTAGAAACTTGGAACAAAATCACTAGTAACAGATTGTCCTTAAGGTTTCTGTGAAATAAATTGTAAATAAAATGACATCAATATTTAGAGCTAGTTTTATTGAAATATCAAATATATATTTTTCTCTTAACACCTTCAGGTTATTTATTTCAAACTTGGGGAGAATAGTAGCTTTTATATTAGAACTATTTAGTTTATTAGTTTTTATTAGCTTTAAAACTACTTTGGTATTGCCCAGTTCTTCTGTGAGAACAGAGAAGTCTTTTAGTGGACTGTTACAAGCTCAGGGAAGGATGAAGCTAGAGGAACTTGCTATCAGGGGAAAGGCAATTTATACAAACATCATCATATGTAGTTTGCATTTTATTGCTGCACAGAACTAAAGAAGTTAGCTGCTTGCTATCCAACAGCCTCCTTTGAATARTTTACCTTTGAGTAGTATGGTCTCTGTTGTTCCACGTGACCCTTCCCCACCCTATTTAGTGGATGCAACTGCAATCTATAAGACTTGACTCAAGTGATGCCAATTCATAGGTTTACTGGAGTTTCACCCATTTAAAAATGTATAGTGGGTCAAGTGGATCATTCTGTTGGGAATTTGGAATTGAAAAACAGAATGACTGAACTAATTAATATTGGAATTCAAAAAGCTAAAGTACACAAGTTAGTCAAACCCAGGGACCCTGTTTATGAATTTAGATTATAAGATTTGGCTGGGAGGCCGGGTGGGGAACAAATGCCCTTTAGGAGGTACTGCTTGAAGGAACTGCTTGCTCTTTTAGATGTTTCTCAGTGGCAATTATCATGAGGCACAGCTGAGCTGCAACTCCTACCTCTGGATTCTTGGGCCATTCTTGTTAAGATTATTTTAATTCTAGTCTTCCTTATGCCCCTTCCTGAACTGGACTTTCTGACAGCAGAAAGAACCCTAATTCAAATCTTTAGCATGRTTAGACTTGTTTTGATCATTGGCTGAAATCTCACACATGTGCCATGGCAATGGTGGGAATGAATTCATTTGCTGGCAAAAACACGCTCTAAATTCGGGGAGAAAACTCTATAATAGTATCTTTTATATTGCCACAAATCTGGATTTGGCAACGAGCATGTTSAAACACTAATTGTTTCTTGACATCTTGTAACTGATGAAGTAATGAAAGTAGTGAAATTAGTAATGAAAGTCTTACTAAAATGAGGGTTAGAAATCCAGACTCTCAATTCACAAAGATGATTTCCTGTTCTGCTCCTGCAGATTGAGGAGGTTGAGGAAGAATCTTCACCTGATTTCTCCTTCACAGTCTTGAGCTATTTCCTAGGAAAGCACAGTTGTCAAACCAAACACATTTATATGTCCATCTGCTTTCCTTCCTCCCTCCCTTCTCCTTTCCTTCCTTTTATGGAGTCTTCCTCTCTTTCAGCCATCCATCCATCTTATCTTCCCTAATTCCTTCCATACAAATTCTGAAAAAGGGGCTGGGGATGTGGCTCAAGCAGTAGCGCGCTCACCTGGCATGCGTGCGGCCCAGGTTCAATCCTCAACACCACATACAAAGATGTTGTTTYYGCCAAAAACTAAAAAATATTAAAATTATCTCTTTTCTCTCTYTCTCTCTCTTAAAAAAAAWTCTGAAAAATACTCTGATAATTTTTAGGAGGCTCACAGAGTTTCAAACTTTCTAATTCTATAATTTAGGAAATCTTGGTTTTAGAATGCATGTTTTAGTAGCAAATCTGTGACTTTTTTTTTTTTTTTTTTTTGCCTTAGTGACAAGAATTGAATTTTTCTAGCCAGTTCTCATATCTGGATCATGACTGTGAGTTTCCACAGTAGCAAAATATTGAGGAATGACTACATTTTTTTTTTCATTTTCAGAGGAGAACAGTAATAAAGTCTCTATGAATAAACACAAGAATACAAATACATTTTTTCGTTTTTAATCTAAGACCATTACAAAGAGTAATCAAACAACAATGTTACTAGCTGGCATTTCTATAGCTTTTTAGTTTACAAATCATATTTGCATATGTGATGTCATTAAATACAACCTCTGAATAAAGCACTACTTGTATTTCAGTAAAAAAGCTGAGTCCTCAGTAAACTAAGTAAATAAAGTTGAATCTTAGATTGTGACCATATTATTTTACTATCGCTTCGTTAACAATCACCTCACCTTAGTGGCTTGAAACAACATAAATTCCTTATAGTTCTATAGGTTAGATACCAGGTATGGGTCTCACTAGAGTGTGTTCCTTTCTAGGACACAGCTGTGTTCCTCATATAGGGAGAATAGTTTCCTGGTATTTCTTCCTGTAAACACACTAACCCTATTGAATCAAAACCCCACCCATATCCCCTCATTTAACTTTAATTCCTTAAATGCCCTATGACCAAATATAGATGCGCTTCAAAATATGTATAGGAGGCCACAATTCAGTCCCTATCAGGGGTGTTTTATGATCGTTTTGATTTTCTCAATGAAGCTTGTGATGAAATCCTCAGGTTGGAAGACAAGCAGGCAGGAAAAAAGTCCACCAATGCTGAAATATAATTTTGACAGACTGGTTGAGGGAATAAAGCAAGCAGACACAGGGACAGATGCATGTCTGTCATCCTTGCAAAATGCTAAGAAATTCAGTGAAGGTAGATCACAGGATAAACAAAATTACAGAGAATCAGATATAACAGTAATAACTTTGGCTTTATCTTTAGGTATTAGTGAGTAATGTGAGATGTCTGAGCTAGAAGTTATGGAGTGGGTGGGTGATAGATTTATAATTTAGGTTAAAAAAAAATAACAGCAGAATCCAAGATAATATGGAAATAGAAGACTGAAAACAAAGGCAAGATTAGCTAAGAGGCTTCTGTAATAGTCCAAATAGGAAATAATGTAGGCCAGAATCTGAAAATATTGATTTAGAGGTTAGCTGGGTTAGGTTGAGAGTACCTTCAATTATTTATAGAAAAGGCAAGGGTTGGGAATTTCGCAGTAGACTTTGTGCCTAGCATGCACAAAGCGCAAGTCCTCCAGTATTAGTGATTCAAGTATGTGCATATATATGTGTGTATATGTATATGAAAGCCATGAAAATACTTATACTTTATTAAGTTTAAACTAAGTTAAAATAATATTTTGTGACTTGTTATTTTTATCTGTATTATTCACTTTAAGTATCAATAATATGCGATATGGGAATACTTAAGTTTTCCCCACCATGGTCATTTAATAAGATAGTTCTGATCTTTTTATAATTAGCAAACACATTATCAAATACCAATTAATTTTATTAGCCTAAAACTTAACTGAAATATAATAAAAATAATTACCATTCATTAACAAAATGATCAGCTATTCAGTTAACTAATAATTATTGAGCACCTCCTATTTTCCAGGTCCAAAAATTATGTGTTACCTCATAGAATTCTCAAAACCATCCTTTTAGATAGTAGTATTTTTAATTTAACAGATATTAAAGAATATATTGTCTCTTGTTCACATTTGGGTTTTACCAAAACGACTTTGCTTTTACATTTATATTTCTTAGTTCATGCAGATATAAACTTTATTTTTATTTATATCACCAACACCTCTCTTTCCCAAGAGAAAAACTTTGTTTTCCTAAGGACATCATCACTTATCTATAATTTGCTTATAAATTTTAATAAAATACATGGGAATATATAATAAAGTATTACTCTATTATTTTGGATTTAAAAAATGATACAAGCATATACTTTAAAAGCTACACCTATTAAGAAATAGATACAGACTATAACTTCTAAAATATGCATATATATTTAAAATTAACCTATATTTTTGGTTTATAAATATAATTTTATAAATAAGGATGTTAAAAAACTTAAATGACTTAAACATGGTCAGCTACATGTAAGGTACTAAAATATATATTCTTTCAAGTTTAAGGTACCTCTCCTAAAATCTGAGTTCAACTGAATAAAAATTAGAATAGCCATATTTTCCTTTATGTAAGATACCTAACTATAGCCAAAAGGTCAGAGAATGCAATAATAGTGAATATCAAATTCTCCCCAATTTCTATGATATAAGTACATATAATCTTATAGAAAAACTGTTTTAATAAAAGTATCAATAAATACAAAGGGAAGGGACTACAAAGAAACCGACTGAGTTCTAGTAAGGGCCCTTATTTTGCAAATTAGGGACTGGGGCTCAATCTTGATAAGTACTTTGGTCATGTCATATGTCAGTGGAAGAACCAACCTCAACTATTTTGGGGTGTTTTGACCATATCTTTGGCCTCTTATTACTGACTCATTATCTATTTACTATATTTTCATTTGGGAAACTACCCAAATTTAACTATTTTTCTCTTCTTCACAACAACTATTTTTCTTATTAATGAGCATTTTAAGAATAGGATGCAGTTCATGATATTAGAGCACTTTTGTAACTTCATCAAGATGAGAACATTATATAGGAAAAAGTTCACTTTACAGGAAATTTGGTTTAGCTGGAAAAAGCATATATAAAACCATAGCTTTAAAACTTCTTTATATCATAGTGACTTCATATGTTGTGAAATGGTTTTCTATAATCTTGACATTTTCTTCTGATAACCAGTTTTCCTGTTTTAGCTGGCTTATAAGAGCTTCTAAAGACTTTAATCTTCCTAGAGTTTGTTGCTCTTGTAGCTCTAGAAGKGTTATCTTTGAATGTAGTTTAGAGACTTTTTGCCAAAGATGTTCCTTATTTATGTCTTGTCTGCAATAAGAATGTTCAATTTGTAAAACTTCTGCCCCATGATCTATAGTCTTATATAAGGAGTCTTCAGTGTCTAAGTCTTCCATTTCCATGGTTTCTTTGGGGGCAGGTATAAAGGAATTAACTACAGGTTTAGAATTTTCTGTGGGCACAAAAATGGCAATAACAGATTGTTTATTTGTGTTTATATCTTCAACTGTTTGATTAACTGTGCTGAATAAGAATGGATTTTCCTGTGATTTAATTTCCATGGAATTATTTGTAAAGTTTGGATTAGCAAGATGACTGGTTGTTATTTCAAGTACTTCTTGGCTTTCCAAAGACYGGTGACTACCTTCTGAATTTGAAGTCGTCAAAGTAATAGTTGTAGAATTTTGATTCTCAAAAGATGTATGAAATTCTCTTAAATCTAAATCTTGGTTMATTGATTTTTCCAGGGTAGATTTCAGATTTTCAGTGTCTTCCTTAACTAGATTAAGAGTTAATACTTTATTTTGTAAGCTTCCTGGCTTTGGAGCTGTTGGCTTCAGCAAGGCAGACGAATCAAGCAATTCTACATGTTCAGGAAGCACATCTGTGTTAACTGTAATATTCTTTGCCTCATTTGATGCAAATGATTCTTCTGACCTGGCTTTTAGGCACACTTCTTTCTCTTCCAATTTTTTCTTCTGAGATTTTTTTTTGGAGAGGTCTTTTCCCTAGAAAATAATATTTTCAAATTCTAAAAAGACTTATTCTCTTATTAATTAGTCATGACTACTTAATTGTAACTTTAGGCACTATGCTGGGCAAGCACATTTGTTTAGTTAAAAAATACTCTAAACATATGATTTAAATATATCTTAAAATGTTTTTTGAAAAGCATTAAGCACATTCAATATATAAAACATTTCAATCATTAAAACACCCAACAAAAAAGCTTAACTTATTATTAATTTACATTAATAACTTAAGATTGTATACATTACCTTCTGTTTCTTAAACTACACTTCACAACAATTTAAATTTTTAAAAACTACATTACTTTTAGTAAAAGTGCAAATTAGTGTTCCTTTTCCTCAAGTATTCATTTTCCCAAAAGTTATCTTTCCCTCTTACTCTCTGTACCCATCAYCTGCCACCCTATGATGTGTCACCATGCTCAGCATTACTGCCCCCACTCCAATACCTGATAGTCTTCAGGCAAAGAAAATATTGTTGGAATTGCAGTTTGTTTTAAATAACGAATACCCCATCTGATGTCAAGAGAGTCAGGAGTAAAATGGTCACTACATAGGAACTGGTATTTACTAGGAACCCAAGAATCACGTTTCATATTCTTTAACCATTTTTCAAGTCTTTCTTTGTCATGTAGAGGAAACCTGAAATTATAAAAAAAAAAAAAAACAGAAAAAGAAAATTTGCTGTATTTTTACATTTTGCTAGATTCTAAACATATATATCTAGCACTATTTGTCAAGTGCTGCAAAAGCTAGATACCCATCCCCACTAAACAAGAGCATCTTCATGACAACTACCATATTATCTCTCTAYAGTAAGAGTACTAAGACACGATATAATAGAAGCCAAAGTTTTTGCCTGAGAATAGCTTGTAAAACAGAATTCAGAGTCCCTTCAAGTAAAACAGGTATTCCTGCAAAGGATAAAATCTATTCATATTTTCTGTGGATTATGTTCCACCTTTRTTTTATTGTACAGTTTGACTAGAAGTAGGAAAGAGCATTGCATAAATTACAAATTTCCTCTCAAAAGTACTTCATATTAATACTACAAGTCACATAGTTTCTTGCCTATAATTTTAGGCAGCATTAGCTTTAATTTTAAAATAAGGCAACATTATTTCAAACAAATGATTTAGGAGAATAAAATGAATACTTGCATAAAACTACTAACATTCCATTCTCTTTACTGATATCAGCTTCAATTCTACCCATGTGATATTACTTAATTTCTGTAACCTACTTACTGGGAACTCTAAAATTCAAGTTCTAAAAAAGAAACTCTGAAGCCAGAAAAGAACTAAACATGTTAATAAAGACAAACTTGGATATTTTATTTGAAAGAAATAAGATATAAAAGAGAGAAAGGCAAGATAGTTCTCCATACATTTTGTTCCTTTATTGACAATAACCTGGATTTAGAGTTGGCTTTAACATATTGCAGTTTGTTTTAAAGGCAAAACTGGACAATGGCAGAATTTAGTAGGAAAAAATTTCCAACTAGGGCTGGGATTGTGGTTCAGTGGTAGAGGGCTCGCCTAGCAACCCAGGTTTGATTCTCAGTACCACATAAAAATAAAGACATTGTGTTGTGTCCATCTACAAAAAAATAATTCTCTCTCTTTAAAAAAAAAACAACAAAACTTCCAACCAGTTTAAATGTTTGCCTTAAAGTGTTCTAAACAGAAGTTTACAGTGACATATATCTCATTTAATGATTTTCCTAGGCATGTTCTAAATGATAGTTTCCTATTTAAAAAAATAGTAACAATATGGGTTTCTCATACAAAATGTAGCTATCCTACATGCCCTCTCATCCCAACTACTAAGTTTATGCTTTATAGTAAGCAGAATTTTTTTTTTCCCCTTCCTAAATTCTGCTAAATTTATAAGATCCTAGGGGAAGAGAGTCTGGGTATATTGTAGGAAATAATTTTTAATTCTGATATCCTATGTGGAAAAAAAATTAAATGATCTTTGGAAGTTACTACCATAAAAACAATATTCATATGTTTTAAAATATTCTAAGCTTGCATATGACACTTAGATTTAGAAGTATGATACGCATAACCAGAAAAAGYATTTAAAGGTAAAAAGAATAAGTTCAACCTTTTGGTATGTCTAAAATGAGAAGAAGCCTTTTAAAATAATGCTTTCTCATAYGATTCTTATGTAAGGATGCTGTTTCCAAATTATTTCCATTGTACCTATAGGGTAAGTTAGCAAACCATTAAAAAAATAACATTTTGTGACTATCCTAATTACTAACTGCAATGCAGTAATTCCTCAACAAATAAATCTTTAAGAAATCTCTTAGGACATGTTTCCTGAATAACTGAGTAGCTTCATACTTGTTTAATTTGTCTGGTAATTTTGTTTATTTTATGTAATCCCCCCAGTACATATAAAAATCACACTATAAATTGGACATTGTATGCCTCTATTTACTGAATTACCATTCATATAAACTTATATACTACAGCTTGCTATAATGTGAGGATGAGCAAATTCAAGTCTTCAAGTGTGGTAGTTTGGTGCTATTAGGGAATAAAACTGAATTTTTATTTTGTGGATTACACAGGTAACTTATAAAAACCCCAATTTTTAAAAATCTCACTTTTGATTCACATTTTGAGGAAAAAGTCTTTACAAACGATCTTCATAATTCATTTGGAATTAGTTTTTCCTCCTTAAATATAGTAACTTTGAGATCATATAGGTTAAACAATTGATTAGTGCAGGATTATGCCTCCCAAATCAAAGGCCAAATAAACCTGGGAAATATTAGTTTAACATGATCTTTTACTACAAATCTTAGAACCATTAATATAGTAGCATCTGCTTTTTAACTGACAATGGATTAGATTTTTTACTCCTAAAATAACTACCTCTGTGGAAGGGATCCAAGGAGACATTACTGGATATATTGTCATGTAGTATGAATTACTTAAGGTTATCAATTTTTTTCCCCTCAATACTTCAGATGATGGAAAGCAGCTGACCATTAGTGAATGATAGTTTTTGGTCTAAAGGAAAATGGGATTCACAATACATCTGGTGAAAATAAGAAAAAGAAACAAAGAGATCAGCTCTAAAAAATTATTTTTAAATACAAGAAAAAAGGAAATAGAATATTTTAAATATTTTGATTTTCACAGGCTTTTTATATACATTAAGCCTGTACCTCCTGCAAAGTAAGCGTGAGTAAGTTCCACTAATATCTCCATTTTACAAATGAGAGAGCTGAGCACTGACAGCCTAAATTACTTGTCATTCAGCTACGAGTAAAGGAACCAGGATTTTTTAATTTAGTAAAAATACGGCTTTGGAGCCTGAGACTCTTTACACAACACTGCTTCCCTGTTCTGCATGGAAATCAGTACTCTCTAATTTCACGGAAATAATTCGGGGTCCTAGTCATTCAGAGTAACGTTTACCCTGTTCTATTCATGAACAGCATACACATCTCTGAAAAGGACACAGGTCATAACTCCAGCTTTGACACCAAACTTTCAAGGTCGTCGGTTACCTAATCTTTCCTGATAAAGTTTCTCAGGAGGAAAAAAAAATGGATTTAAATTACACCTGTGCGATCTCACAGGGAGTGCAAATTAACTTTGGGCGCACCTTCCCACCTGGCAGGTTTGATGTACCCTAAATGGTGGTAAATGTCATTTCAGGAAATGATGTCAGGTAAAGTGGAGTAAAGGTTCTGAAATATCATCGAGCATCTCTCAAGATTCACTGTTTTAACTCCTTTGTTGAGCACCAACAGGCCCCTCAAGATACACACTGAACACTCCTCTTGCGCGATGACCACTACGTCAAGCAGCTGAAGAACAGACAGCTCCAAAGGCTAGCTCCAAAGGCTACAGGACCACGGCCTAACGCTAACGCTTCTGCTCAAGGGACTACTCACGGGTAAAAGCTCAGCTTCCGGTCTTTATTGTTCGGTCCTCGGCGGTTTTTACAGCAAATCGCKGCGCAATAGCGGGGCATCACTCGGGTAAGGTCCCGGAAGACCGGGACCAGCGAGGGGCGCAGGCGGGCCCTTCTTCCTGAGGCGGGGCAGCTGGTCCAGCAGCCTAAGCCACCGCGCCTGCGCAGAGGTTCGCCCAGGGGAAAGACGTAGGAAATGTTGACTCACTTCCGCCTCCGCATGCTTCAGTACGGCCCTTCGAAGGGGTGGGGTAGGAAGTGACGCACAGGCTGAGCGGCAACAACAGTTTTCCACGTGCGCGTAGGGCGCCAGGGTCAGGTGGGTAGGTGGGAGCCAATGGGGAAGCGTTTCGTGTAGGTCGTCTCCTGAGGCGGTGGCTCCAGCAGCAGTCGCCCGCCAGTTGGGAGCGGGCTGAGAGGGGACGCGGTGGCTTAGGCGGTGCGGGGAGCGAGAGGTGATTGTGCCGGAGGCAGTGGGGCGCGCGCCGGCTCCAGGAGGCCGCGGAAGCTGGGGTGAGGGGCCGAGCCCCAGCAACCGAACGGAGCGGTTCGTGAGCGTCACCGGCGCCTCGGCTCGGTGGAGGAGGAGCGGTAGCTGGAGAGTGCGGGTGAGGGACGAGGCCGGGAGTCGCTGGGAGTGGGATTTGGAGCGTCCCCGGAACAGTGGCTTCTTGTTTGGGGCAATATTGGCCTCCATGTCTGTCGCGGTTGCCGCAAGGGCTTCGGGCTGCGGGTTCTTGGCGAAGGAAACATCAGGAGATGACCAAACTACAAAACAGAGTGTTCTGTGTGTTGGGTTGTGTCGTTGGCTTTCAGACAGCTTCTCGCTGGWCTGGGCCCCAGGCCTCAGGGAGCCCTGATGGTGGGGCTTGGACGGACAGGGCTGGTTGTCTTGTGATGAAGGTTGGATGGTCCAACCGCTGGCACTGGAAAGTAAGGCCCAGGCCGCTGTCCAGCGGGTCCGAATGAGAAGTTAGCTTAGTGGAAAAGTTAGTTTACTAAAAAATTATCAGATGTTCAACTTGAAACCTTGGAGTAACGTTTATTAGCCATCGAGGTGCCTGTCAGTGGTTAGACCCGCCTTGGAATCTGGAGCAGCCTGCCTTGGATGCGGTGTCCACTGGACATGTTCTCTTTGTGTTCTTTACACCAGGAGGTTGTACTTGATCCTTGGTACCCGTGACTATGAGTAACGCTCTGGAGAAAAAAAAGAAGTAATACACCTGCTGATTATTCCCAGGAAGGGCCACAGGAGAGGAAGGCAGGCAGTTTCAACAAATCATAGTGCCTTTTCGTCAGCCTTGTTAGGTCATCATAGGTTATTAAGGATTTCTATGGTACAGCATTAAAAAACCAGGATCACTTAGTTTTGAATCTCAAATCATTAAGTATATATTATCAGGAATTCTTAAATTGAAATCTAAGGTAAAACTTCTAGTAATTTAAAGTTAAGATAAATATTTTAATTACTTAGAAGTTTGAAAATAAGAATCTGCTTTAAAGTACCCATCAAATCACTTCATATTTTCTGACAGCCTTAATAGAATTCTTAAATAGGAGTAAATTTAAACAGAACTTATTTGTCCATACTTCTTTGTTGAACATTTGGGATCTTGCATTTGTACAGGTTTTATAACTTACAAATTGTGTTGACCTTTTAAAGAACAAGTAGAATTCAACCAAATTGAGAATCATCTTTCTTGGTTTTGCCATTCCTCTCATACTTGAGTCAAATACAGAGGAGACACAAAACTTTTAATCACTGATTTTTACTAGATATTATTGAAGACCCATCATATATATATAAGCATAACAAAAATTAAAGAAAAAAATGCAAAATTAATTTAAAAGATCCCAGTCTTCCTTTCAAGAATTTGTATTCTGAAAAGAAAATAATGTATTTAGCTTCACAGGGGGAACAGTGCATTACCAATGTAAATAGCCCAGGATATCTATATAGTAGAATTCTTCCTTCCCTAAGAAAGCAACAGTCAGCATTCATTTCAGCAGGTAAGCCAGACTGGAAATAGGGATGTAGTGACACAAATACTAACCAATACAATAGAATGTACAAGATAGTATTTGCTGAACATTTTTGTGCTGCATTATTTACTTCATATATAAAGGTTCATTGGGTTTCTTTTTTAAAAAGTGTTAAGATTAGTTCCGTGGGTAAAATTTTTTCCCCCTTTCTCTTTTAGGATATTAGAAATGGCTACTCCCCAGTCAGTTTTCATCTTTGCAATCTGCATTTTAATGATAACGGAGTTAATTTTGGCCTCAAAAAGCTACTATGATATCTTAGGTGTGCCAAAGTCAGCATCAGAGCGTCAAATCAAGAAGGCTTTTCACAAATTGGCCATGAAGTACCATCCTGACAAAAATAAGAGTCCTGATGCTGAAGCAAAATTCAGAGAGATTGCAGAAGGTAAACAAATGACTTTCCTTATGTCTCATGGGTATTAATCGGTAAAGAGAATGCTAAGAAGTCTATGTATTTGAAGGTTTCATGGAGATGGGAAAACACACAAGAGAGGAATTTACATATAAATATAGTGAGATTGTGAGATTTTTTTTCATAACAGATAATACTTTGGTTCATGAATGAATGAATAGACATTCAGATCTTAAAATATTGAAAATATTATTTTATTATTATTTGTAAAACACTGCTGTTTCTACGTAAAAAGGAATTTAAAAAAGGAATTCTTGCAACTGATTTATGAAACATAATATTAAGTATGTAGATTAAATATAAAAAACCTAATATAGTCTCTGACATTTTCTTCATTTAATCTGTATTTCAAAACCCATTTGTCTTTAAAGAAAAAGTATGAAAAACATTTTAACTTAAGAATAGTTTCAAAATAAATTGCACTTTGTGAATATTCAAGAGTTGATGGTAACTGATTAGAGAGTTGGAATTAAACTTTTTCATTAAGTAGTAAGGAAGTGAAAAATTAAATTTCTTAGAACTTTGTAATTGTTGTCAACAAATTTCTTTCTGGTAATGGTTGCATTCATTTAACCGATATTGGTTATTTAATGTTTGTAGGGCTTTGCTTTTACTTGTGATATGACCTCCTTCCCTAAAATATAGAGTTAAAATCATATTTGAAGAAATTTGAATATATGTAATTTATCTCTTTCAGCATATGAAACACTCTCAGATGCTAGTAGACGAAAAGAGTATGATACCCTTGGACACAGTGCTTTTACTAATGGTAAAGGACAAAGAAGCAGTGGAAGTCCTTTTGAGCAGTCATTTAACTTCAATTTTGATGATTTGTTTAAAGACTTTAGTTTTTTTGGTCAAAACCAAAATACTCGGTCTAAGAAGCATTTTGAAAATCACTTCCAGACACGCCAGGATGGTTCTAGTCGACAAAGGCATCATTTTCAGGAGTTTTCTTTTGGAGGTGGATTGTTTGATGACATGTTTGAAGATATGGAGAAAATGTTCTCTTTTAGTGGCTTTGATACCAGCAATCGACATACAGTACAGACTGAAAATAGATTTCATGGCTCTAGCAAGCACTGCAGGACTGTCACTCAACGAAGAGGAAATATGGTTACTACATACACTGATTGTTCAGGACAATAGTTGGTTCTTTTTCTTTTCTCACTAAACCCACCTAGTTGACTCTTTGTCAGTATCTTTGATGTAAAACAGTTTTCTGTGAACTATTTTGACAAGTGCATGATTTCACTTACTTTAAACAATTTGACATAGCTATTAACATATATTTAAATTGTTTTTGAAGAATTCAGCTAGTAGACAAAAATCTAATTATTAATTTTTCTGATTAGGAAAGGTTCTTTAAAGAGATATAAATCTGCCTGGGTTTTATTATTATTATTATTTTTTCCTTTCTACCTGCCCTTGGGTTCAGTAACGTGGCCAGTTTTATCACCCCCTTCCCCCACCAAAAAAAAGATTGAGTTTGCTTGATACATCAGGATTAAACTTTAAAAGTTATAATTGTGTGAAGTTGAATGATTTTTGCAGTGAAGCCTTTGCTAATTTAAAATTGCATGCTCTGTAGCATCTGAATTGGGTTGCTAAATGTTTGTGAACTAATTTATTCAGCATAGGAGAGCGGTATCTTGGTTAATTGCCACTGAAAGCTTTAGAAAGGGATGGTTTGATATTTACCACAGAACTGTGTCTTTCTATTGTAGAATTGAGGTAAGAGAAATGATTATACTGCTCTTAGTTAAGCTGGAAAAAAAATTGAAAACTTATGAAACATTGCCAAGAGACTGTTATGTGTTTAGTCCCTAGCTAATGATTTTGTAGGGTTGAAATCATAGCTACTTATACGTCTTTTTACATTTCTTTCTTAGTTGTTGGTACTCTAGGTCTTAATATGAATTTATGTGTATTTTTTTTTGTTTGTGTAGTTCTTCCTCTTTGCACTTACCTTTATCTAGAGTTTGACTAATACCTCATTCTGTTTGTAAAGCCAGCCAGTAATTTCTGTGCAACCTTATTATGTGCAATATTTTTAAATCCTAAGAAATGTGTGCTTTTGTTTTCAGATAGATTTATTTCTTTAGTTCTGCACTTTTTCACATTATACTCCATATGAGTATTAATCCTATGGATACTTATTAAAACTAGTAATGTCTCATACAGCATTGTGTGTGAGTGCAAGAAATATAAATATTTACAACCCAATGTTCTCTGTTGTCATTTTATTGTTCAAAGTTTATTATGTACTTCTGGAGGTATAAAGGATGTATATAAGCAATGGGACATATGCAGATTGTAGGGTGTATTCCCCATGAAGTTACTTTTGTCTAATCCGAAAACTGATAGGATCTTGTTTTATTGTCATTTGATAATTTGCTGTTTTCTTTTCCTTCTCTCCCAAATTTTGGTGGCTTGAAGATTTTATTTACAATAGTTTTGGCCTATTTGCTTTCCCAAACAAGTGTTCTGCCACCAATTTTTTCTTCTTTAGGCCTAGTTGGGAAAAAGCAGAGACTGCAAAAAACTAATTGTTAATTACCTTTTTTTTTTTTCCCATTTCACAGTGTGGGGGTTGAACTCAGGGCATGCTAGGCAGGTGCTTTAACACTGAGCTATATCCCCAGCCCTTAATTTGAGAATTGTTAAGAAAATTAATTTATTATGTTTGTGTTCCTTACTTTTTTCTTGAATGTTAAACCTAGTGTTTTGTTTTTTTAAAGAGAGAATTTTAATATTTATATTTTTTTAGTTTTCGGCGGACACAACATCTTTGTTTGTATGTGGTGCTGAGGATCGAACCCGGGCCGCACGCTTGAGCCACATCCCCAGCCCTATTTTGGGGTTTTTTAATTTTTTTTTTTTAGTTGTAGATGGACACAATACCTTTATTTATTTATTTTTATGTGGTGCTGAGGATCAAACCCAGTGTGTCAAATATGCCAGGCAAGCACTCTATCACTGAGCCAATCCCTAGTTTTGTTTGATAATAAAAAAATTATCTTGAATTTGGGGCCGAGGCTCATAAATAGCCTATAAAACAGAATGAATGCTGCAGAAAAGGGTGGAGGTCTCATTTTCAATTTTTTTAAATTTAAATTTTATTTTTTTACAATGACAATAGAATCCGTTTTGATATAATTATACAAGCATGGAATATATCTTTTTCTAATTAGCATCCCACTGTGGATGTATACAATGGTGGGATTCACTGTCATGTTTTATATATATACACATACAAACAATTCATTCCACTGTCTTTCCTTTTCCTATCCCCCTTTCCTTCCCTCCATTCCCCATTGTCTAATCTACTGAGCTGCTATCCTTACCCCCCTTATTGTGGGTTAGCTTTCACATATCAGAGGAAACATTTGACGGAGGTCTGATTTTCAAATCAGTATTAACTTTAAGGATGCATTATTTTTGTATTGTTAGCATGTGCCCCTCTTTTTCTCCAAGGCCTGATTTTCTGATTATTGTTCTTTTCTTCATTCTGAGTATTTAATTATTTATTTATTCTGAATATTTATTTGTTATGACTTGACTTTTGACTATTTGGCATAACTTTTTTTCAAGGAAAAATTGACCCTGAATCATAGAAACTTTAGATAAAATATCAAGAAAGATACTTGGGTAATTGTGTGTGTGTGTGTGTGTGTGTGTGTGTGTGTGTGTGTAGTTTGGTATGTAAGCAATTGGAAATTTTACTAATAATCATAAATTTCTTGAATAAATGGTTTTCTGGTTTGTACAGACTGAATGTACAAATAGAAAATGGAAAACTATGAGGAAATGACAATACAGTAATGTAATGTATACTTCACAAAAGTCAAAAGTCCTACCCTGAGTAAAATAGTAATTTTCATATGACTTTTATCTTTTCCTTAAACATTCAAGTGTCTATAGGAATATGATAGACATAGATGATATTAAGTCCATACAAATTCAGATCTCTCAAATTCATTTAAGAATATGTGCCAGGCATGATGGTGCATGTCTGTAATCTCAGGAACTCAGGAGGCTGAGGTAGGAGGATTGAGTTCAAAGCCAGTCTCAGCAATTTTGCAAGGCCCTAAGCAACTTGGCAAAACCCTGTCTCTAAATAAAATATAAAAAAATGAGCTGGTGCTGTGGCTCAGTGGTTAAGGCCCTGGGTTGAATCCCCAGCACCCCCTGACCAAATTATACATTCTTGGGGTTATTGTATTGAAATAGAGTTTTGTTGAGCAATTGAAGGAATACACTAGGCATGTTCTGTGGTACATGGTCTGTAGTCCCAGCGGCTTGGGAGGCAGAGGAGTAAAGTCAGCTTCTGTAATTTAGTGAGGCCCTAAGCAACTTAGCAAGACTATGTCTAAAAATGAAAGGGGCTAGGGATGTGGCTTAGTGGTTGTGCATCCCTGGATTTAATTCCTGGTACCAACAAAACAAACACTGGGGAAAATTATATCATTGCCAAACAAAATAAGCAAATATCAGTTTCTTACTATAGAGTAGGTCTCTAAAGTTTTTATATTCTTTCTGTTAATGTTGACATTTTAAATTCAGATAGATTGAATATAGTAAAGTTATGATTGTTTTCTTCTTTCTTAATCCCAAGGAAATGATAGAAAATAAGAATAAAAACATGAAAGTGCTAGAAAACAAAAGCCAGCAGTTTTGAGACATTTCAGCAGGGTATCAAGTGGAAGAGACTGGACTGAGAAGTTAGAGAAAAACCATAACCAAGATATCCTGCAGAAGCTTTGAGGCTCATAATGGGGGAAGGAATTTGCCATAGTTTAATCATGTTAATTAATAGAAGAATTGCACTGGGAACTCCTGCTCTTTTCTCTTCCCAGGTAAATAGTTGACAGAAGTAACTTTTCTTCAGGCTGAGAACTAAGAACCACTCTTGAAGAAAAGGATTGTTCCTGGGGAGCTCCTAGGGAAGGTATGGGGTTGTGATAGGAAGGCTGAGTGAGTGGAGAAGTGAAAAAAGCAGCACTTCAGTTCCATAGTAAGGCCTTTTTACTTTGCCCTTTGTAGAGAATAATAACTTCTGATTTGTCATCCACATACTTCCCCAGAACCCTAACTCCTGTTCAAAGAGGAGATCTGAAGCAGACACACCGAGGAAACTTTGTCAGCCATTGGCAACTTCATGTAGTTTCCTAAATACGGATTTCCAAGCACTATCAGACATTAACGAAAACTAACAGCTGGGAAGAGAAGCCCCAACAACCAAACCTGACATAAAGAAATATAATTCAGGAATTAGAATATCTTAAAAAAATTTAGTAGTATCAGATTTTTGAAAAGTCAGGCACAAGTTCTTGTCTAACTTACTTATTCCAGGGGTTCCTTCCATATAATGATAGCATCAGGCAAAATAGATGAAGCAGTGTTAATCCATATGTAGTTTACATGACAACAAAAGTCGGTAGGGGGTGGGGGAATGTGCAGTTCATTTGTTTATTATGCAGGTTTACCTTGTCCTACAAAATTCAGATTCTTCCTTGTAACTTTGCTACTCAAATGTACTCCCCAGGTGGAACTACCTAGATAATTTGTTAGCACAGTTCCATTTATTGGTATAATACAATAATTTTTCATCATAAAAGGTGATATAATACATCATAAAAGGTGAGGGGGTACTTACATTCTTGTAGAAGGAGACAAAACCATGATAAACCAATCCCCCAAAACCAAAGAGCAAATGTTTTTACTGATAGTAGAAGTTAAACCACAATAAAGTGGGGGAGGGGAAGAAGAGAAGTTCCATAGATTAGACAAAGGGAATGAAGGGAAGGGAGGGGGGATAGAAATAGGAAAGACAGTAGAATAAGTCTAACATAATTTTCCTATGTACTTATGAAAATACCTAAGTGAATCCCACATTGTGTTCATCCATAATTACAATAAGATATATATCATGCTTATATAATTTTATCAAAATCGATTCTATTTTCAAGTATAACTTCAGAAGAACCAATTAAAAAATACCAAATAAGGTGATAAACTGAGGATAAACAAAATAGCACAGGAGAGAAAATTTGGTAAAGAAAGGCAATTTGAGAATGTGTTGTAATTTTCAACAGGATGGTCAGTGTAGGCAGCATTGAGAAGGTGAATTTGCACAGAGACTTGAAGGGAATTATTTACATGCATGAGAAGCTCTAGTAATAGCACAGAAGCCAGTGTAGTAGTTGGAGGCCAGTGAGCAAATGAGAGTAGCAAGAGATGAGTTCATGAATGTAATAAGAGTTTGGAGGTGGCCCTATAGTTCATGTAAGACTTTGCAGCCTTTGTAAAGGTTGTAAAGGTTTGGCTTTGGAATGTGATGTTTTAAGTAAATAAATGTCTTGATCTTTTAAACATTTTGAAAGGATCACCGTAGCTGCTGTGTTGAGAATAAACCATAGAGGGGTAATTTCTGTGGTGGAATAGGAAGACCAATTAGGATATT